GGAGAGCCCCAAAGCTGGCCTGTGGCTCAATGGCTAGAACCTTGGACCTCTGATCAACAGTTCGCGGGTTCGAGCCTCGGTATATTCATAGCCCTGGGGTTGCGTATAACGGCCAATGAGCCACAAATTGCCATTCCAGTCTCTCTTTTTTTGCCGCAATGTTCATCTGTCGACTTTACTAGCTGCTGGCGGAACTTGAGAGTGAGCCTCAGGGCCTAACGGAACGAGTGAGTTCCATTAGCGAGTGGTGAGCGTTCGTCAACAAATGTCAGAAGCAATGTAGTTGACAAGCAGCGTTGAGGCGAAAGCGTCGCGCAAAGCCAACTGCGTTTCCCCTGACGTCCATTGCAAATGACGGCACGTGAGAAGTGGTTTGGCCGTAGATAAGGCCATTCATTTAACTTTCCGTTGTACGTTATTTTCTTTCCATCGTGAACTTCAGTATTAAGTCGGTTTCGAAAGTAACAATTCCATTCCGCACAACACATCGCCATAATTGCCAATCCTGCGGGCGATGTTTAAGTCGTTTTTATGTTCCATCCTAATCATCTTATCTACGTCCAAATTATGAAGACACTGAGCATGCGCGTCGACTTGTTTTCTGAATCCGTCCTCGTCACTTCGCCTTAAAATACAACTCCGCTTGAATTAGTTAAGCTTCTTCTCATTCATGCTATATAGAGAGGCGTCACCAGAACGTAGATTCGGTACGTTTTCAGCTTGTTTCTGAAGAGGGTGTGGCGGTGATTTGGGTCTCAAGTTTGGATCCTTTGATGATTGAGGCTGCAATTTCATTGCTTTGCTCGGTAGCAATTCTGGATAGCAGGGAGACACTGGTTATCGACTGGGACAGGGGGTTCAGTGTTGATGAACAAATTGTCCAGGGCATTGCGTCCGGCCTCGCGTCCGGCCTCGCGTCCGGTCCTCCTGACTCTATCGTAACCTCGGGCACGAGGGTGGTAAAAAAAGAAAGAGTGTGATGGATGCAGCGCAAGTCTACTACCACCGCGTTGGCCTTCAGCTTGCGGAGAAATACGCCGTTAACATCGAACACGACAGTCGAACGGTCATTGCTCGTTCCTCAACCCTTTTTTCAATCTCCCTCTTCCGGAATATTGACAGCATATATACTGAGTTCAGCTTAGTAAAGAAAAATACGCTTAAGTTTGAACATTATATTCAAAATTATCAACAAAAATGGCTCCATTAACTAAGCCTAATGGATAAATTAACGAAATACGCAAGAATCTAAAGGTTTGCATAAAATGTATATCTATCAAGGAAACATTCATTATATCCATTTCAACATTTCAGTCTCTCCTCAAATGGGTTAGAGTACTAGACATGGCAAGAGAGAACGCTGATATGTCGATGTACGGCACAATATACGTCGAAGCCTTGGCGCATGGGACGGGAAGACTTCGCAGTTATTAGATCAGAGTGGAGGGGATAGACAACATCATCGAGAATTTGATCAACAAGTCGCTTGACGGTTGTGAAGTCGTTGTAATATAATATCAAAGTTTATGCACCAATTTTGATCGAAAACAATTGCCAGACCGCCATATCTGCTCTATGATGAAGATGTTCTGTCAGTTCGAAAGCAGCATACAGACGATAGAGAAATAAGTTGTGAGTCAATATTACTATTTAGCCATGTCTCTTGACGAAAAATCACTTCAGTCTTACTGTACTCCCTTTTCTTCAACAATAGTAGTTCCATATGGTGGTTTTTTTCGAAAATCGAACAACAATTTTTCGACAGGAAGCCCGGAATTGACACCCTATTTTTGGTTGACGCTTCAGTGCAATCTGCTAGTCGCAGCGGTGTTTCTCCGCTGTAAAGGCTTTTGCTGATAAAACTGTGCTAAAGTTAGCGTCGGAGGATCACAAATGCGACATGTTGGCCAAAAAGTACAATAGTTGGTGTCACGTGCCGTCCGTCAGTGTATTTTGCACGTTAAGTTCGTTCTAAAAGGTACTAATGCAGATGACCTTATGGTCGTACTGTGGACGAACAAAGCAGATGAAAAAGAGCAAAGTACTAAAATTCCAAAGCTCGTCCCTTTGTGACTGATTTTCATCTGCCGGCGTCTACAGTGGGATGGTGTCTTTTCTGACAGTAGCTTTGTCTGTTTACAGGAGGATGGTTGGTTTTCATCTTTAGGCATCATGATAAGACCTTGAGCTCATCGAATTAGGACATTTGTAGACTTAAGTCAGACGTATACTGTCTGCATGACAGTTCTCCACATGCTGGTTATGTTATCGATTGTGAAATTTTCTCTTTTTTGTAAGCCTCCTGTCTTGACTTATTCATAGTTGCTGCCGTAAATCCAGTTTTTTTAACGAGTTTCACCCACGATTCAGGGTGTGCATGAGAGACCGAACAGCCTTGCTTATCCCGTCGTTTTTACTATGTAGTGATATAGACTGCAATTTTCTTGCATATTACTACTCGTTTTTCATTTTTCACCAATTTTTAAAATTTAGTTCTCTCAGAAAACCAGATATCGAAGGAAGTGCACTATTTTTTCGTGAATAATTATAAAAGGATGTGAGGAAAGGAAATTTCTCTCAATATGCACAAAATTATGTGAATTTGGTAACAAGTGCAACCGTAATCTAACTTTTTAGTAAACAACCAGCCTCTCCGCGTGTGGTCTTCAATCTATTCTTATCCCTTCCACCAGCCCGGACCTGAGTTCGATAGAAAATATATTTGCAATTATCAAAAGAAATTGGCATAGAGCCAGAAAGAACCTTTCCATGTATGAAAAAGTGGAATTTGTACTCAATGCTCACATTGCGCAAACAATTATTGATTAGTTGACCACATCTATGTCTGACAGACTTAATGATATTTTCAATGTTAATGGAACCTATGGTCTTAGAAGGCGGTCGGATAGCAGTGATCACTCGGTTAACGAGAAGTGTTATCGAAAAATATGTCAAACCAGATTGTCGCATTCTGCGCTGCGTTGCCATCGGATCAGATCGGTGAATGTCACTCCCAGATTATTTTTTAATAGTGTCGGTTTATGCCCAAACAGCCTGAGTCCAGGGTTCAACTGGTCGAACTTGAATTCTTATCTGAGATTTCCCCCGCCTTGGTGTGAAGGCTGGCTGACGACGACAGCTAAGACACCAGTGGTTAGGGCGTTTGACTCTGATCAAAAAAGTCGCGAGTTCGAGGCTCGGGTGGGATAGCACTTGGGTCTGGGTATGACTGGATGACGAGGGCTAATAAGCCAGAAATGGCCATTCCAGTATCCTTTGCCTTTGCCGGCAATACTAATGATCATTCTGTTCTCTATTCTCTTTCTGGATCATGCTGCCCATGAACTGATTACTTATTTTTCCCTCTCAGGGCCTTGCT